TTCGATTTATCAATATAAACTGGGGTAATATTGTTGGATGTATCTTATTAGACAGGGGTATGCTTTACTGGTTGAGTTCTCCCCGTGGGCTGTGTAGAGGTTTTTAGTTAGTTTTCATCCACTCCGGGTGGTGATTACCTTACACTACTCATGGCTTACTCCCTTTGCGATCTTAGCATCGTCGGGTAAACCATCTAGTGGTATGGTGTTCAAATTCTAGGCAAGTTGTCCGACCTGTGTCTCCAAGGATTTCAAAGATGTCTCTTGGTTCTGTAGTCTCATCTCAGTGTCCATTGAATCAAGCTGGTTTATTATGGCGTTACGTTGGACTCCTCCACTTCTAATAGTTAGGAACTGATAATCATTCTTGGTAAGATAGTTCATAATCTCCATTTCTTCCTCCGGTGACTTGTCGAGGAGTATTTCATTTGTCGAAACATCTAGCATAATTCTTTTCAGTGTATTCACTGAGTTGTAGAACATCGTCACTTGTGTCCATACTGGGAATCCATGCATGGGACATTTGTGTAAAAGCTCCATATATCACTCCCAACCCTCGTACATGGATTCATCATCTGTCTTCCGAAAGAAGTAATATCGTTATGCAATTCAGTTATACTTATAGAACTATATCTAGCAAGGAAATCAAGAAATATATCCACCCAAGATTCTAGAGATCCGGATTGGATATTATTCCACCACAATTTAGCCTTATCCCTCAGTGAATAGGGGAATAATTTCAGCCTTAAGACATCCTCATGGACTCCTTATTGCTTGAATGAGTTACAAATTTCTAGGAATGATTTGAAATGTTATCTGATTTAGACCGTTAACATCCTCAATTATGTTGTTGGTCCACCAATTTGATCGATTGTGTTGATCATATTAAACATTATTAGTTTTAATTTGAAGTAGATGGTTTCTATTTCAAGTGTAACAACTCCTGAATTTAGACCGTTGAGATCTTCTTCTAAGTAGTCTCGAATGGGCATGTTCCTCGATTGAACATGTCACTCGACTAGAGCTCCTATATCCCTTACTTCGGCTTTCTCGTTACCAATAGCATTAGAGTCTCTAATAGGATCAACGAGTTGGTCTCCCATTACTGCGTATTGCATTCTTCTTCTTCTATGAAAAGCTCTCTCGATTTCGGGTTCAAATGGATATTCTGGCGATTTTGATCTCGACCTGGCCATACATAGATGCAAAACCAAAATTTGTTAGCTCCTTGAATCTGAAAAGAAAGAAAAAGAAAAAGAAAAACAATAATACTAATATTTAAGGTGCAAGAAATAAAAAATCAAAGTCGATATTGCCAATCCCCGGTAACGGCACCAAAAACTTGTTGCGTGATTTAAGTGCTTCGCAATTGGTGCAAGTGTACACATCGCAAGTTATAGTGTAGAAAATACATCGTCTTCACAGTGATTGGTGAAACTCTGTATCCTAACTTTTTTGCACTGTAAAAAGAATTAAATTAGTAATAGTAGGAGTGTGAATAAACAAATAAAATAAATGAGCAAGTAAATAAAAGTAGAGTGATATCAAGTGAGATAGCAGGTCGGGTTATCGGGAAGTGCAGTGTGAAAACCGTTTGGATAGTCTGGGTAATTAATTGCCTTTACAACTCGATTTCCTTGACAATTGAAAAGGATTCAATTGTCGTAGCAACTGGGTTTCCTTCTTCAAAGCTCGACAGAGCGTTCTTTAATGCCTTCTTGTTATTCCGAACTCGAAGGACTGGTCAATTATACATGCCTTGGTGATACATCCATACGTTAACCATGGGTGAATAACAATCGATCTTGCGCTCCTTTTAACGGTTAAAATCTTAATATTATCCCTAAGATGGATTAACCTTCACTAAAGTTTGTTCAAATGAAGATCATGCTCATTCGTTTCTTGAATCTAACTCTCCTGATATTAGATAAATGGATAATTCTCAAGATCCTCTCCCAATTCACTTGAAATCAATTAAAGAACTAAGAATGAACAAACTTTTAATTGAAACCGCAATCAAGAACTTAAACAAATCCAAGAGTTTTCACAACCACAAAAACCCAAAAACCCAAGCCAATTAAATTTAGTTCATGGTTGGGTGCAAAATAAATACAAGATAAAGATTCCCCAACAACATGAATCAAAAAGAAAAAGAAATAAAGACGAAGATTGTGTTCAACTTTTCTCTCTCTAGCAGCCCCTTTTCTTGTGTGTTTGGTTCTTGATTTATAGGATAATATTAGGTCAAACTGGTTGTTGATGATGATGCGTTTAAGTTGGAATAAAAGAGAGAATAAATTTTTTTTATCTTTATTCTAAAACTCTTTGCAAATTTTACTTCCTTATCTCCTTAAAACTCTGCGTGGAATTCCAACTTTTTAGGGCTCTCCTTTTATTTGACATGATTATCTTGATGAGGTGAATTTATCCAGTCAACATTATCATGCACAAATTAACACACACCAACAATATATTTTCCACAAAACCAACCAAAATGCAATATCAAACTTAACTGTGAAGGAAACCATGAAATCATGCATGAATAACTAATAATGCAACTAGACTGAATCTAAATCTAACAATAATTATGGGTAAAAGGATAGAAAATATAGCACTTTTATACCCTTAACACTCTCCCCTTGCTCATGCAATAATCAAAATAAGCATAACGAGTAGTTAACTCGTTTTTAAAACTTAAGGGAGCACTAGAATGATTTATATAACTCAAAACTCCCTAAAACGAACTGAAATTTCCAGATTTCATGAACCCCTCCTAAACCCACTTTTTGATGACTCAACCAAAACTTATGATTAGGGACTTGAATTGAAGCTGGGATGGAAGAGACTATAGTTCTTACATTGGTTGCTTCAAAGAATGCTTGGAAACCTTAAAGTTCAAAGCTTTGTGTTGTGCTTGGAGATGAGGAAGATAAGGAAGAGAAGAGAAAGAAGACAAGCTTGAGATGAAAATAGGAGGAATGGCCAGACGTGATATCATGCTTCATAAATAGAAATCAACTTTGATTTCAAATAATGGGTTAATTACTCACCTAGTCCTTCCATATTTGGGTCAATATTTAAAACTCCCTCTTTAAAGCTTGTTGGGCTCATAACAAGCCCAAATCAAATGTCACTTGGGTCAAACTCTCCATGGTTTAAGGGGATTTATTCTAAGGTCCAAATCAAATATACCCAAAATTTCTAACCTGGAATTTGGGGCGTTACGTAAAAAGTTTCTATTTTGGAGTGTTAATTGTTTGTTAACTAATTATTTTCATTCATGGAGGACCTTTTTGCCCCAAAACGAAATGTTGGGAGCCAAAAAAGACTAGGAGTCAAAATGATCATTTTGATAAAAATTGATGGCTAATTATGATATTATGCCCAAAATAAAGCGTCCAACTATTTGTGTGTGTGTGTGTGTGACCGAATTGATGTGTAGATCCATTGGGGTGTAATCGAGTCAACTTGCTTCAAACTTTGGGATTTGATGTTTCAATTGGGTTCAATCAAACATCAACTTTTAAGTTTGATTACGATTTAAGATATAATTCAATTAAATCCGTTTAACGGTTTTTGTGTTAAAGTTTAAACTCGAGCTCAATTAAGTTTATTTATACTCTAATACTTATAATAAGGATAGAAATATAATCAAACAATATAGAAAATATACATATTAAAATTAAAAACCTCGATTAGTCTCACAAACGGTTCAAATAAAATATTATAATACTTGAATTTGACTTAATTTATAATTTAAACTAATTCGGTAACTACCAATCCAAATTCAAGTCAGAACATAAATAGCCTAGGAGCAATGATGTCTTTAGTGGATCCCTATAAACTTCGTTTGTACTTCCATTAAGTTGCTTTTAAGTACATTCATAGATTAACTAATACAAACTTGCCATTGGCTCTTGCATGAGGACGTTAATTGACATTCGGTTTGAATTATTTGAATTTCATTTATTGAATTATGTTGGTGGTAGTTTTAAATATTTAAATAAAATGCCTTCGATGGACCACTTCTGTCCAAAAAAAATCTCATTCATTCTTGATTTCCTTTTACAGCCTCAATTTGGACTATAAATTGCAGTTTTAATGTGTGTGAAAACTAAAATAAATTAAACTCATAAGATATGTGACTATTTTAAAAAATTTATTAATAATATAAGATAAATTATAAAATAATATCTATTTAGAATCTTTTTTAATTATTGATAATATACAAATACAACTATTTTAATTTAGAATCTCTAGGCTATTTGTAACTATTTTAAAGCTAGAAACACAGGATTTTGCAAAGTAGAAAGACAACGATACAAAAATGAATTGTTAATGCCTTGGAAGTCGGAATTATATGAACATCCCAGCTACATGTGAGAAAACTAACTACGTAAATTGCTTATTTAATCACCTAATTATCCCTTTAATTTAATTTCGGTCACCTAACTATAATTTTTTAAAATCATCACCAACGTTACGTTTTGGTTGCGTTTTGATCCTCCACCATTAAAAAAACAAATCTGCTAACATGATATTTTATGTGTGTGAAAATGATATGATTAAAGAAGATCATACACAAGAAAAATTATGGGTGCCTCATTAAAAACCTCCCTAAACCTAGTTAGAGGAAAAGAGTACACCCGAATCCTTAAAGCATCAAATACAAAACGACAGAAATAAAATCAGCTAGACGATCCGACATCATTTATCCGTAGTAAATTCATGGTTTCCTGTGGAGGCCTCTCCATTTAATGAACCCCAAAATATAATCTTAATAACTTTTTATTTTTAAATTATGTCATATTACTTTATGGTGATATGTTAACATCGTAATTAATTTTTTAATGACGGATAATTAAAACAAAACCAAATGGTAATATGATTGATATTTTGAGAAAGACGATTAGGTTACCACAAACTAATTTTGTACCGAACGGAAAGAAAAAGGGTATGACAGTAATTTTGAGGCAGAAGACCCGCCACAATAAATTCGGAAGAACAATTCAAGGATAAGGAAATTAAGAAGTTTCGAACCTACCACAATAAACAAAAGAAATTTCCGGTTTAGTACTTCACTTTCACCATTAATTCAAGTTGCAGAAAAATACAACTAACATATTCAAAACCCCATAAATCCAAGGGAATAGAATCTCTATTTCTATATCTTCCTAAGGGGAAAAAATGCTTTAAAGGTCAAAGAAATTGTTGAAAAGGTCTATTGATGGAGTAGTAGGAGATGGTATGAAATAAGGTGAAATGTTAAAGCTTGAAGGACTAGGCATGAAACTACCTTCAATGAAATTCCTATTCCCATGAAGAGCAGGGCTCAAATCATGGAAGAAACCGATAGAGTACGGATCGGACGGTGGTGAGAAGAAGCTCGGTGATATCCTCGGCAGTGAGGTTGGCCCAGGTGATAAAATCCCAGGCAGGAAACTTGTCCTTTCAACCCCTGGATTCATCTCTATGCCTTCCACAAACCCATAGTTTTCTTCATGAATCTGTTGTTTTTTCCCTTCTGCGGGTGGCTTCGTTTTCTCTATTGTGGCGAACCTGGCTGCCGGCGAGATTACACCGCTGTTAGTATCGTTGAATATCGGTTGATTTGATATGGACGACGACGATGACGATGTCGAGCCTGTGAGGCGTTGCACTAGGTTCATGAAGTCGCTAGGGTTTGTATGGATCACCTTTGGTGACACGGTGTAGATGATTACTGGAGGCCTTATCTGTTGTGGTGGTGGTTGTTGATGATGTACTGGTTGTGGTGCCAATGGAGGTTTCCTGATCTGGTACGAGTCCTTACGGACTTTCAAAGGAGACGGACGTGTCCCTTGAAGTTCCTTTCTGGGAGATCTACTCGTAGGAAAACCTGAAGAATCCATACTGAATTTTGAATGAATGCAGTGAGAATTCAATGAAAGAGGTGAATGGCTATCAAGACAAAAGAAAAAAAAAGGGAAAGACAAGTATTATTGTATTTTCCAGCTAAGACAACAAGTATTTAAAGAGAGCAAGTCAATGGAAATAAAGTTTGGCAATCAAATGATTTAGTAGACTTTGGCTACTTTGTAATGGATATGTTTTAGAGGAAAAAGGCATCTGGTTTCGTGGTATAGGAATGTTTGAAATTGTCTAAGTTTTTGTCTTGTCCTATGAACCGGAAGGTGCCATTGCTACTTCAGACCGAGCACTGCTGACGTAGCTTGTGCATGTTCTCTCATTTTCTAGATTTTTATTACAAAAACCCATGAATTCAAATTTGAATTCAAGTCAAGTTCATCACATGAATTCAAAAAGTTTCACAGTTAAATTAGGGTATATCACACTATTGGTTACCAAATTATTAATTTTTTTCTATTTTGATCATCGACATTTAAAAAATTTAGCGAAAATTATGATGTGACTCGGCATAATAATAATTTTAATCCTTGAATGGGCTTAAGGAGATTCGGACCTAAGCCATGCTTAATTGCTAACTAAGCCGAACATATGTTTCATGATTGACAAAAATACAATTTCGTTTAACTCGGTTGGTAGAGCACAAGGCTCTTAATCTTGTGATCGTGGGATCGAGTCTCATGGTGGGCAATTCATAATTTGGAGGTCTCCCACGGAAGCTGCTCTCAACCTGACGTTGGGGACAGCCTACTATCCTACCTCTCTCTTATCCCATTACATATGGGAATAGGGTCAACTAATATTTAAGTCGGGATTGAATCAGGATTCTTAAGAAAAACATAGAATTAGGTTAGAAGGATTCAAATATAAGACAAAAGCAAGAATGCAATGCATAACAGTTGGATCAAGTCAAGCAATTGTTATATGGTTGACCAAAATATTATTTAGCTTAAATTGTAGTTGATACAAAAATTCTATAATTTAAAGCAAATTTAATATATATACCCACCAGTCCACCATTATTAACAATACCATAAAAATTACATGTTTTCTGTATGATTTTGACAATCTTAATATTTATATCCACGATTTATAAAGTTAATATATTACTGAGTTGTATTACGTACATTAACTTATATTTATTATTTTTAAATCAAAACAGAAAAATTGTGAAATTAGTTACATGAAATCGTTACGAGTAGACTTTGGTACAAACCAAAGTCATTTAATTTGCTTTGCCTCACTCCTAGATTAATTTAAAACTATTTTTTATTATAAGAAAATAAAATATATATATTTAAGGAAAACCAAAATCCAGGCCATATTTTCTTTAAAAAAATTTGTATCAACAAGGGTCTAAGCCAAATATTATTTTTTTCAATCATGCAACAAATATGTTATTTGGTTCGCTGGTTAAGAATTGACTCATTGTCCAGGTCTTGGGTTTAACTCCCCAAAAAACCAATATCATGTTTTCCTTACAAATCTTGTATCGAATTATATTCTATAATTTCACCCTTTGAATTATTTAAAATTAAAATAAGGACCACATTGATAGATTTTTAAATTAATTGGGTTTTTTTTAATTTGGAAAAAATTGATAGAATATACAAATGTTGATGACTAAAACTATTATTATATCAAACCGTGTTATCATCTCGATTAATCTTTTAATGGATGATGGCCAAAGTAGAAAAGAATCATTTTTTTCGTAGAAGATAACATCAAACTTGAATTTTATATATATATATCATTTAATTTAAATAAATAAACTTTTTCACCTCTACAACATATAAAACCATATTTTCATAAATTGTGGCTTTGTCATTTATTTCTTACCACATAAAAATTTTCATCACCCACTTCCTACTGGATGTGATTAATTGAATATAACTTTGTTAATTGCGGTTAGTAAAATGTTTAATTTTTAATTTTTAATTTTTAATTTTAAATAACGAATCAGATCATGATATAAATTTTAACACCTTTTATTTACTAATTTTCTTTTCAGAGTACGTACCACTTTGGAAGGAGCAATTAGAATGTGGTTAAGTGTTATACAAGTGCATGGAGCCAAATATTCAACCACAAGTATTTATCTTGACTGGGTTTATATTCAATTAATCATGTTTTGTTTACTTATTTCTTCTGTGTAATTTTAAAACTTTACCCCTAACATCAAATATTTTCTCGTTTTAATTAATTTTTCGATAACTCGTTCGTCAATGTATAAACAACAACCTAGCAACTTCCTTAATTATATGACCACAATGCAATTTTCTTTGAGTTTTGATCAGATCCCTATGTAATAATCAGATTAATTCTATGGTAAACTACACAAATGGTACTTAGATTATAAGACACTACTTTATTGAGTCGTCCGACTATCAAAAGTTATAAAATAGATTCTTGACTATTCGTATGTTCTAAACTCGTCCTTTTCCGTTAGAAAATTGACGGTTGTCTGAGCTGAACGTTAACATATTGATTGAGATATGATAAAATTTAATTCAATAACCATTTGAGTTGTAGTTTGTGGATCGACTCTATGTTTACATTACGACATCGAGCAAATGATTGAAATATTGGGCCGTTGAACCAGTTCTTTAAAGCAACGACAATGTCAATAAACATTATTAAAATAGGATTTTATCATATCTCAATCAGTAGGTTAACGACAACTTAGACGATTGTCAAATTTTTAACGAAAAATGATAAATTTAAAACATACAAATAATCGATAAATCATTTTATAATTTTTAATAATCAAAAAATTTAATAAAATAATATTATATAATTGAGATATCATTTACATACTTTACTTCTAATTTCATAACACAAATGATTAAATTTTATATAAAAAATCTCGATACAAAAGCATGTGAATAGAGGAATGACAGGTACCATCACGAAGATTTGACTTTTATCCTGGGAAAATTAATGAGAGAGAGAGAGAGAAGTTGAGAAAACCATTTTTATAGCACTCATTTGGTAGTGGTTGGAATTCTGATATATTTTACTGCCCTCTACATTTTATACAACATACATAAAGAGGAGTGAATGACCTAATCAAGCAAGTAAAACGTTTTAGGCAGCAAAAAGATAGGGTCCAAACTAAAAGTTTGACTTTAGTGTTCCATGTTTTTGTTTTTTCATATTCATTGGATTGCCCAGTCAGACAGATTAGGTAAGCTTTACCTGACGGCACCTTTAATATGTTATTATCAGTTTGGTTATTATTTAAATAATAAAATCAATAAAAACTTTTTTAAAATATTGGATGGTAAACGAGTACAGTTTTGTGGATTTTGCACTGTACTCGTTCTAATTTGGGCGGGGATAGGTATAATTTGGGCGGGTAGTGGGCGGGTGTGGATTTAGAAACTAATACCCGTCACGGGTAGTGGGCGGATAATGGGTTTGAGACATTACCCACCCCGCATTCGCCCGCCCACTTTCTATTATATATGTAGGTAGTAGTGAATTTAAATTGGAGCGCTCTCAATTGGAGGAAATAGAGAATGATGATTGTAATACTGGAGTATTAGATGTCACAAGTATTGCCTGAAATTTTAGAAGAGAAAATAACATCAGTGACCAAAAATGCCTTATAATATACGATTTTAACCAACTTTTTTTGGATTTATCAAAATGACCAACTAAATCGCAATGCGATCGATAATTCGCAACGCAATCTCCGGTATCGCAAATCAGTTTTCAGATTCGCAACGCGAACTTCGACTATCGCATTGCGATTTACATATTCGCATTGTGGTAGTCCAAGTTCGCGTTGCGATAGTCGAAGTTCGCGTTGCGATTTTCCAAATTCGTTGCGATAGTCGAAGTTCGCGTTGCGATTTTTCAAATTCGTTGCGATAGTCGAAGTTCGCGTTGCGATTTATTCCAAATTCGTTGTGATAGTCGAAGTTCGCGTTGCGATTTATTCTAAATTCGTTGCGATAGTCCAAGTTCGCTTTGCTATTTATTTCAAATTCGTTGCTATAGTCCAAAATCGCAATGACTGGTGGTATTGCATTTGTTTCTTAAGAATTTTATCTAAAAAGATAGTATTCACGCGGTCGTGTCGAAGACACGTACGACCACGACCACGACCCGAGACGAGACGAGACGAGACAGACGGCGGCGGCGGCGCGCGAGAGTCCCCCTTGTTCTCTATCACTCAACAAGGAAGTGGGAAAGCCAAGCCTTAAATATCATTCCCAATAGTGTTTCCAATACTATGTGGGATTGAGCATTACCAACACTTGTTTCCAATACAATGTGATTATTCAGGAAACATTTAATAATCATGCACCTTAAAACAACTGAATCAGCAACCAATTGCATTAGTATTATACGATTAAATATGTCATAATTAAAAGTCAATCTACAATCAATCGCGATTATTGCAATTTTAAGCAAAACATTCAAAAATAATATCACTATTTAAGGCTCAATCCCACATAGTATTGGGAACAAGTGTTGGTAATGCTCAATCCCACATAGTATTGGAAACACTATTGGGAATGGTATTTAAGGCTTGGCTTTACCACTTCCTTGTTGAGTGATAGAGAACAAGGGGGACTCTCGCGCGCTGCCGCCGCCGCCGTCTCGTCTCGTCTCAGGTCGTGTCGTGATCGTGGTCGTGGTCGTGGTTGTGGTAGTGGTAGTGGTAATACGTGTCTTCAACACGTCCGCGCGAATTCTATATTTTTAAAGAAAATTCTTAAGAAACAAATGCAATACCACCAGTCGTTGCGATTTTGGACTATCGCAACGAATTTGGAATAAATCGCAGCGCGAATTTGGATTATCGCAATGCGAATATGTAAATCGCAATGCGATAGTCGAAGTTCACGTTGCGAATCTGGAAACTGAGTTGCGATACCGGAGATCGCGTTGCGAATTATCGATCGTATTGCGATTTAGTTGGTCATTTTGGCAAATCCAATGGTTAAAATCGTATATTATAAGACATTTTTTGTCACTGATGTTATTTTCTCATTTTAGAATGTTGTGCCAAAGAACAAAAATATTATGTGTTTGTCATTTATGTTTATAAACTTTAATTATGTCTTT